AAAACGCGAGGCGCAGCCGAGCGTTTTATATCAGATAAAACACGACTATACAAGTGCTTTAAATGGCTTAAAATACGACTACAAAAGAATACTAATTAGGATAAACAATTATATCATCATACTAATTAGGATGAACAATTATATATAGCCCGCGTGCAGGCCCAAGGGAAGAATAGTTGGCCTGCATGCAAGGCCCGGTATTTTGTAAAACGACTCTTTTCATAACACGCCCCATTCGCGCTTCAATTGTCAAAAAAGAACCAATGACAGCAACCCAAATAGTATAACAAACAAACTCGCATTAAAATGTTGCGGGGTTTTCTCTGCTTTAATCGAAGTAGAAACAATGTGTAAATGGCTGTGTTTTAACTTCACAAAAGCAAGCAACGCAGTCAGTAATTGCCAAATTTGCAAGTGCTCATTTTCAACTAAAATCCGAACAGGCAAATTAGGACGAATTTCAACAGAAAACTAGTCTCAAACTTCAAATCGTGAGGGAATTCGTGCGACCACATTAGCATTAATGTGTGCTTCGCTGTCGCCATTGTTATAAATAAATTGTCTCACTTATCAGATCGTGTGTGCAATTCTTGTTGGCGGCGGAAAGTATACGAAATTTATTTCAGTTATTTCATTTGGTAAAAAAAAACTCTACAGGAGAAGAGAGCGTTGAGAGTCCAGATCGTTTCGTTTCAAACGGCAATTACCGTCTTCTGTTTCGCGGCTCTCTCAGCGAAGCTTTGCAAATCGCAAAGTGTTTCGAATAAGCTTAATACATGCAACTGCCTCAAAAACTTCACCGCGAAAAGCGCTGTTTTCTTCAGTGCAAGAGCAGAGTCAACATCAACCAAAAGATAATTTTCTTGAGGAACATATAACGTATCAAGTCTGTTAATGAAACTCAAGTAAAGGTTACTATAGTTTACCCTAGTCGTAATGTTGCTATTCCAATACTTCACGACAAGCAATCCCCATTGGCATATAACGGCAAAAACATCTCTTCCTTCAAGTAAACAATAAACAGTCTGTTCTTGTTCCATTTTTAATCAGAAAAGTGATCAATTTTCGAATTTTAAGCTTATCGAGAGCCTTTGTGATGAATCACTGATCTAATTATAGAATCCAATAGCAAACAGCCAATCAGAATGCCGCGTTCGTGGGCGAACGCGGAAAGTACAAAATACCGGGCCTTGCTTGCAGGCCCACTATTCTTCCCTTGGGCCTGCACGCGGGCTAAATTATATAAAGAATACTAATGAAGATGAGTTTTATGACTTTTATCATATATAAAGTCACTCCACGTGACGTATTATGGCTGACATGATTTGCCACAAGATTTATGAATTATTAACTAGGGTACCTGCAAGGTAGGGATTGCTGCGGGCATTAGAAGCAAATAGTACTACAGTAAACAGCACAAATTATATCAAGCACATTGATTGCTCGCAGCGACTAGTGAGCTGTGAATGCAACTGAAAAGAAGCAATATATATTGAAGTAGCAAAGAGCTGGGGTTAAAGGGCAATCAGAGGTGACAGATATTAAACATGTGCGTTTCATTGATATGCAGGTAAATTAAGATCAGATTTCATGTCAAGTCTGTTTACTGCTAGGCACATTTACCACATTATATAGACTATATACACAGATTTAGCACACTAAGAAACCGAAGCAATATAAAAATATAGAACTGACAGTGGCCAAAGCAAATGTAAACGTATGCCAAAACAAATGTAAACGTAACATTAGACTTGAAAAAACTTTAGAAATTCGATAAAAAATCGAAGACTCGAGCGAGTTTAAAATTTGTGTTCTGCGCATAGAAAGCGCGCACGACCACATTGACAATTCCATGCGCTAAATAAAATTTAGTTCAAAACCCCCTCTCTGCATATATAAGGCTGCTGCTACGCTCGCTCGCTCCGCAGCAATGAGTATTTTACATATATATAATATGTTGTTCAAACTATAAAATATATGTATAAAAGATATATAACAGTGAAAAGGATTACTATTTTATCTGAAATGCATAGACAACATTTAAATTTTATTTAAAAACTAGGATGCTAATCATGCTATATGTAATAGTTTAAGAAAACTTGTTTTGAAGCAGGAAATTTCCAAGCAAGCTAGGAAGACCATTTAAAGAAAAAAAACAGTGAAATATTCTGCTATAATTATGCAAACATGATGAGATCGCTTAGTAACTTAATCTGAACGTTGTTTTAACGTCAGCGTCGACCCAATTTGGATTTCAATCCTTTCTCAACGTCTATATATCCAACGTCTGGAAGGTCATCTACGACGTTGATTCGATCAACGGTGTATCAACGTCATTTTGACCGCTTAGAAATGTGGCGAGCAATGCAAGTAACGCAAATAAGAGCGCAGGTAGCCAAATTATTGATAATATACCGTTTAAATTTAGTTCCTTACCGTTGAAAGACTGCTATCCATATTTTGCAGTCTTTTAGGTCTTCGGAAAAAGAAATTTCAAATCAGCCCAATCAGCCCAAAATCTCTCCCAAACATTTGCAAATCAAATTTTGCCGCAACATTTTCCAGCATTGTGTCGAGTAGCCAATTAATCAGAATGGAACATTTGTAATAGACGGCCATGGTTGAGTGTACATAATTAATGTATTAACGGACTTCTAGGGAGAACGGTTTAAAAACAAATATGATATTGACCGAAATACGAGATATTTATAGTTTAAACACCGCCAATATTCGTCGGATTTTCCGCGGATCCTGTTTTGATAATACCAAACCAAAATTTAAATTTATGCATTACCTTTCATGATCAATATACCTTGTACAAGTCAAGCCGTATATAGGCGTAGCTTGAATATTGAAGGTGTATGAGCGTTCAAATGATTTCCTTTAACCTTGGCCCACCTGCACCTGCAATTTTTTTTGCTAGTTTGCAAACAAGTCGGCAAAACTTCTTTCAAAGTATACAGCTCGTGAGCGTTAAAAATAGTTTAAAACAGTCCATAAAACAGTTAATGCATGATATCATGAGAAACTACAAACGAAATCTTGATAATCATAGGAGGAGGAGGAGAAGGAGGAAACAAAACCTACTTTCTAAAGTTTTAAAATATTTTTAAATTGAAAACGTTAACATGCATGCATATATACATGCAGCTTTCCAAAAGTTGCAGTAATTAAGAAAAGCTTATATTAAAAAGCAAAAAATGCCCGCAAAGGAATCGTAATGTATTTCAAATCTATGAAATATATGTATAAAAGATAACTGTGAAAACGATTACTATTATCTGAAATGCATAGATTTGATTGAAAAACCCGGCAGCTAAATATAACTGTACAAGAAAAATTGTTTTGAACGGCGGTTCGAAAGAAAGAAAGAAAGAAAGAAAGAAAGAAAGTTCGTATAGGGGAAACGACCTTGAAATATTACTGCTGAATGTAAACATGAAATCATATCTAAGGCAAGAAAAAAAAAACTAGAAAAAATATAATGGTTGAATAACTATACTATACATATAGGAGTGTAATTTCAACGGTTTTGCTTGAAATATGAACTATAAATGTGATTAGAAAATGCAAATATGCAAGTATATATAAGCAGATAGCAAATAAAGCCAAAGACAAAGCATTAATAGTATAACGGTTTAGATTTAGTTCCTTACCGTTAATTTAAAAGATTTTGAGCCATATTTTGTAATCTTTTTAGGTCTTCAGAAAAACTCGGTAATTTTTGGCCCAAAATCTCCCCTAAACATTTGCAAATGAAGTTTGCCGCAATCAGTTTTCAGCTTTGTTTTCTTTTAACCGCGGTCCGCTACGTCAAATAACCAATCAGAATGGAAGATTTGTATATGGTTGAGTGTGCATTACTAATGTATTATATTGACTGGACTTCTAGGAAGAACGGTTTAAAAACAGAACTGATATTGACTTAAATACGAGTATGTTTAGTTTGAACACCGCAAATTTACATCGGATTATCCGCGGATCCTGTTTGGGTAATACTATAAGCCAAAATATAAATCAATCCATTACCTTGCTTTTATTTTGGGGTTTTTTAATCTTTTGTTCTCCAGTTGCGTCGAATGACTTTGTTCTTATCATCAACGATTCTTTCACTTCAGGAGACACTGAAACCTTAACAAATTATGTTTAACTGATTTCAAAGATTTAATTTTGAAAAATACTACTAGTTCTTTGAGGAGAACAATTTAAAAACAAGAACTATTGCACTGGCAGAGCTATTCAATATAAACATTATCCCCGAGCCAACGTAAGCCCGGCGCGAGGGTGCTAATTCCGCTCGGCTATTTACACCCAGGAAAAGAAAAGCATCAGGCGAAGTCTAAAGTTTACCAATAATCGCGGGCGCATGGCTCATCTCGTCTCGCACTGGTGTAAAAAATATAGCTGTTTTCCAGGAGTGAAGAAGCCAAAGATTTAAAAAAATATGCAAGAAAGGTTGGAAAATCGTTTCACCCAATAAATTGTAAAACTTTGCTGTTCTGCAGTAGACAGGAAGTCAGGCGAGTAGGAAGCATCAAAAGATTGGCGGGGGCACCGGCTTCTAGAGGCACTTTTGGGTATTGAAAAGGTACCTAAAATTTTTTCCCGGAAATGTTGGCGAGGGGGGGAGGGAAGAAAAATTTTCCCGTCATATCATACCTAAATGGGGTAATCGTTCCATGTTTCGCGCAGCAATATAGTAAACGTTATGTAATGGATATTATAGTGTATTGAAAAGTTAACTGGATACCTCTATATACATATATACACACTCTAACCCTATCCCTAACCTTAAACCTAACCCTAACCCTAACCCCCAACCCTAACCTTAATACCTAACCCCTAACCCTAACTAATATTGGTGTGCGAAACATGGAACAATAACCCGAAATGGTACGTTTTTGACCAAATCTTTTTAAAAAACTTTGTGCCCCCCGGTTCCTACGCCCCTGCAGGAAGTCGTTAAGCCACTAAAGCCAACTCGAACCTGATTGGACAACGAATTTACAAACATATTTTATTTGAATATTTTTGTAAATTCGTTTTCCTGTCGATTAAATTCGAAAGAAATGCATTTATAGTCGAATAATCGAGGAACGTTTTGGGCGCCGTATGCAAATCTGGGCTATTTTGGGAACTATGTCTCCTTCCTTCTGTTTTAAATAGTAACCCTATAGAGCAGGCGCTCGGGCGGTCCAATGCTATGCGGGCTAAAAATATAAACAACTATGTAACCTGGGGATTCTGTGGTTTGTTTTGACTGTTTATGTATGACTAATTTAAGAAATAAGAAACTTTCATGTACAATGAGTAGGAAAGCTATGCATGTTTTAGGCAAAACTTGAACAACAAAGACATTAATTTTCTTAATGAATATTGAAAAACGTTTTACGAAGAGTTTCATGTTGAAAAGAAAATCCATAGAATACAAAATAACATACCTATTTTATATATTTTACAAATTGATAGTTCTATATATAGGTAAACTTCCATTTATTTTTTTCCCGTTTTGTACAAAAAATTAAAAAGCAATGATCGTGTTGTCATGACTAACATGCATGACGCGAGAAACGCGAGCTAGCCTGCATTCTGTGTTGGCGTAATTAAGAATACACATGTTGAAACAATGTTTGCATGCATGTATTGCTAGTAGATAGTTAAATTGTTAAATTGGTGCCTTTGATTCCAACATATAAACGCCCTGCTAGGAAAGATTTCTCCGTGTTCATTGGTTTTCTTTTCAAGTGACACTGAACCAACACGTTGATTGTGGGAAAGCAAAGCTAGACAAATGTTTGCTAATTTGTCATCAAATTTTCATCCAAATTGAACCAAAATTTAACTAAACAGTTTATCCCTGGGCAATGTCCATTAATCCAAGAAACTTTTGTATGAATACGTTTGATAGATTGCACTAAAAAATTAGGCAATTGTACTTAAAAATCGGCTAAATGAGGGAATAATAATTTAGGGAAAGAGCGGGGTGCGCAATAAAATAGTCGAAATAGGAAGAAATATGCCACGTTTTGCAAATGTCTTGATTAAAGATGTATCGAAAACTTTTGTTTCCAAATTTTGGGAAGTTTATAACGAAAAAAAAATTGTATTGGCAAATTATATAGTCATACAAATTAAACAATTGTACTTACCATGTCCATTTTCAAATTAATATTTTCTTCGTGGACTACATCACTATTGTCAGTTCCAGCCTGTTGGAAAGACGGACGACAAATCTCGAAGAAAATCTCTGTCATTTTAGAAATACTCATTGTGCCTCCGCATTGCATGCCTTCGCTAGCAAGTTTCCTGAAAAACGTGAACGGCAACTTTTCCAACTTTGGTTTCTAATTAAAAGCAAAAAGCAACGTGTTATTATAGTGTAAGTCATAATATTGTTTTGGACCAGGACCTCTCCTAATAATTCATCTGTAGGCTATGATCATAATTATAAAAGGCACCCTTTAAAGATACTATCGCGCCTGTATTCGACAAGCTCCCTCATACTCAATAAGTGCAACTCAGCATTCACCATGCAAGTCCCGCTGAGTACAGTCCTGAGTACAGTATAATGAGACTAAACTCACCCTCCAACCATTCAATAACAGCACTCACCCTTAATTTGGGGCCTGAATATGAGTAAAGGTTGAGTGAAAGAACGATATACGTCCCTTGAGCCGCCTTATGCAGGCTACGCACATGCACTAATACGTTTTTTAATCCCTTCGTTTTTGATATTTCGAAAACGCATACAAATATTCGCGGTAAACCATGGTCTACACGTAAAAACAAACAAGTACGGGTGTTTTTTGTTTACTATTTGTAGGGCGTTTAAATAGTAAAATACTTCTCAACACCTTACTGCAAGTCGAACCCCGAGGGTAAAACGCGGAAAAAAGGGTAAAACGCGGAAAAGAGGGTAAAACGCGGAAAAAAGTTTTAGAATAGTTTTTTCTTTATGAGGTAGGTATATGTAGCTTGGTAAAACTATATTTATTTAAAAATTATACACACTAGTCACTGTTATGTCATAAAAAAGCAACATATACATTTACGATATTCTGATACTATTAACAACCCTGATAACTCAAATATTAACCTCAATTAACCTACATAACTACTGGGGTGTATGGGGGGGGGGGGCTAACACCCCAATTAAATAATAGTAAAAAAGGGAGCGCAACTTGCGGAGAAGGGGCCCTGGAATTGCGGAACGTGGTAAATATTAAGGACTTTTCTGCAAAATTGAAGTAAAAAATGGTATGAATAACTACATTTAAGCTCCCATTATGTAAAACTAGTGTATGTAAACCCCTTCCCTCCCCGCCCATTATGTAATTATCCATTATGTAACATGTTCCGGAAAAATTTAACGCTAACATTTTCCGGAAAAATGTATTCTATAAAAGCTATAATCTGAAATATAAAGTCCATTAGTAAGTTTTATACCCATCCATACCTCAGTGCAATTGTAAATGTTTTGACTTTGTACTTATCTGCTTATAAAAATGGTAAAATTTAGACATCTTATACATAGAATAATGTCCCAATAAACAAACTTATATCTCAATAAACAAAACAACAAGGTCCAAGTCCAACAGTCAACTGGTGCTGTGATTATGTACAATTAAATTATTATACCAAACTCTGTTAGAAAATGTTTATGCACAGGAATTAAATGTGCTCTATCTGAGTCGGGTATTGTCACCATTTGTGGACTGAAATAGGGCTGCTTCATTTTAATACAGCGGAGATTTACGTGAAACTACACATTCTGGAAACTCTGGCGTCTCTCTCCTGTACTTATCTGACCATTCCCTATTCATCTTCGTCACTAATACTAGATCGTACGGCTTTAAGGCAATTGCTCCAAAAAGCAACTTTGCTTCCTTAAGAAATCGGTCTTTAGCAATTGACGATTCGCCTTTAAGCTTTTTAACAACAACTGTCTCCTTGTCATAAATTGCGCGATGTATAGATCCATAGCTACCACTGCCAATTTCCTCCACGTTTCTTAATGAATTCCAGCTAAATGTTGGCAAACCATGATCGATTCGTCTTTTCTTAATGAACGATGGAACTTTAAAGCTTCCAAGTTTCGACATTTTAGTTGACAATTAGGCACGAGCACGTGCCCGACTTTTTTATTCAGGATTCAAACCATGAATTTCGTTCGTTTAGACTTCAGACACTTACACAATAGAGAGTTAACATCGGCGAGAACTTTGAAGTGTCGTAAAGAGAAGAAACGCTTCAAGTATCAGTAAAACTAGTCCTTTCATTAACTGTGACTGTCAAAAGTACAGTGATAAATGAGATAACATTTCCCTGTCAGTTATATGACACCATAACCTGTATTTAATTAAGTCGAGTCAGCGTGTTCCCCAACGACTCGTAAGAGTTATTTGAAAGCAAATTTTTCATGATATTTACCATTTTACCTTTCAAAACATAACATTTTGTCACTAAATACGTCACGTTTTGCACTTTTTTGCGCGTGTAAACATACAATTTTTTAACGGCTTTTCAAATAAGATTTGTTCGCTGCAGACAAGTTTTCTTTGCATAAACCGTGATATGTTTCCGGGTTATTTAAATATCTAAAAATTTGATGAATTCGGTCGTTGAAAAAATGGTCTACAAAGTTCCTTAGATTTGTGAAACATGTTGTCTACACTGTAAATTTCAAGGAGTTGAAACAACTTTAAAAGAGTTCTTCTGTCATCGTTTTTGGTGACAGAATATAACACTCGGCGGAGTTGATTCAACTCCTTGAAATTTACAGTGTATGCGAAGAAAACTCGTATTGACAGCGCGCTAATCGTTATGTATTTAGTGCCAAAATGTTATGTTTTTAAATATATGTATCATGAAAATGTTTGCAGACGCAACGCTTGTATAGATAATAGAGTATAGAGATAATCTATAAAGCGTACCAAAGCGACTAAGCCTATGGACTGTGGCTAGGTATTCGCACTGAAAGCGATTAGCCAATTCTGCGTAGGTGGTATTCTTTGTCAAACTGCAAGTGTTTTTCTCAAATTGATCCGGTTCCGTTGGCGTCAAGTCGGCATTTCTTAAATAACAGACTTGAGAGAATTATAACTGACCTCTATACTTATCCAGTAATGGCGAAGCGAATCTTTTTTCTCACGAAATAAATACGGACCCTGCTGCCCACGATGTCAGATTCACTTTTCACATGGAGGGGGGCCTTTACACTATCAACGTTTTTGTGCTCACTGCATGCAGTATGCTTTTATTAACGAAGTTTGCACGAGTAACACCCTTCAAAAACACAAATTAAATTTAAAAGTATTTAAGTCACAGGTTTGCTTGTGCGAGATGACGCCACTTTGATCACAGTAACTTTGATGGTGTAAACCGGCCTTTACATAGTAGATGTACGATTGTTAGTCGGTGGGCATATGATGTAAGACGTCATCGGGTGAAGAGCGTTTTGATGTACAAAATTCTTAATGAGCAGTCCTCTCCAAGTCTTAGAGAAAAAGTTTATAAAAATTAAAGATCTTAATAGAGAATATAATCTTCGAAGTAATGATCAAACTATCTTAAACGAAGTTTTATGTATAGTGGAATGCATGGTCTTCCTTCTGAGGCGAAAAAGACATCTTTGCTTTACAAAAGTAAATGCAGTATGTCCACTATACCCAGTGGTACTCAAGTAAAAGTAGAAGTAATTAACAATAAAACGACTTGAATAAGTGTAAAAAGTACTGGAAGCAAAACGTACTTAAGTAAAACCACTATTGTCTTTGGCGTGTAAGGGGGGGGGGCTTCTCCAATGGATTGGCATACAAAACAACACACGCATTAGATGCGTCCACGGTGCACCTAATACACAATATTTCGCGGCATGGTCTACTCTCCAGATCCCGTTGAAGACATAAGAAATCTATCCAGGCGCATGTAGAGGTTCTATTACCTATTCCAAAATTAAAATAAATCCTGAATACATCACGTAAAATTAAACAAAAGTTAGAAAGTAACAAAATACTTCGCAAGATAATAAAAATAACGAAGTAAAACGTTATTTCTTTAAACGACTTCGTTCCAAGTAAAAGTACTCCAAAGAAAGTTTACTTTGTCACATGCCGACTCAGTCAAAAATAGAACTGAAGTACAGTAATGAGGTACATTTACTTCGTTTTATTATGGTATTTAATTAGATTAAATTTGATTTTGTTAACAAAGTCAAAGTTTGGTTTCAAAGTTTGTTTTCCGCGTTTTACCCTCTTTTCCGCGTTTTACCCTCTATTCCGTTTCCGCTTTTCCGGTTCCGCCATTCCGGTTCCGCCAGTCCGTTCCGTTCCGTTTCCGCGTTTTACCCCTACCCGATTTACGGGTACGGGTTCTTGTATATCATCCGTATATGTAAACCGGAATTAAGGTATATCTGAACCTCTTTAATCAATCACAAACTCGCACTTCATTTCCTTTTGAGCCCTCACTTGAATGTTACTTAAGGGTGACTGTAAGTGATTTTAAAATACAGGCGTCTTAGTCACTCTGATACAGGGTGGGAGATTATAAAACCAAACGGGATTCAAACCACATCGAAACCAACGCGTATATAAGTAAATACATTTTAATTCTTACGCCTATATTCTAAAATCTCACACTCAAAGAGTGGAGGTTCACTGAATCTGAGCTTTCCTTGATTGTCAATGCCGGTTTTGAATAGCCAGAACTGAGGGGAGTATAGTCACATAGTAAGGTACGGCACTAACCCTCTAGCAATTCAAAAACAGCATTGACATTCGAGGGAAGCACAGATTGAACTTCCACTCTTTGAGTGTGAGCCTGAGTGAGCTTTTAGAATACAGACGTTGCAATTATTTGAAGAATCAAATAAACATTTTTAAATAGATTTAACAACTATAAGTATTCTATATAAATATAGCCATAATTTACTCGCATTGACTTCGAATCCCACTCGAAACCGTGCAAATTTTTCGTTGTTCACTAGTGCACTGTCTGAATAATACCGCAAAACAATTAGACGCTCTATTAAGCGTAAAGTCACAGGGGGTAAATTGAGCTGCTAATGGTCATTCACTAACTGGATTCATTATATTAGCAGCTCTTTATACCGAATGGTAAATAAAACCACACTGCTTAAAGAGAGTTCATGCACTGCACCACTTCAAAACCGCCCGCAATTTACTCATGTTTTGAAAGGGGTAAAACAAGCCTATAAGCTCAGGATAACAATATATAAAGTGGGATACTCAAAACCCTGATATTTACCTGTACCATAATATTAGTAATTATAGCCTACATGAACTTGTGCATGCATGGTTAGAGCTCGACAACTCTCTCTCTGGAGCTCAGTTAATTAGAGCTAGCGCTGCACCGGAATCGCAGGGCCGCAGGTTTAATTCCTGCCAGCGGCTGATAGTTGCATTTGTCGTACCTTCTCCTGGTTAAGCCTCATAAATGTGTAAAAATTCCACTCAAAATTTTCACCTACAAATCCCTTCAACAATTAGTTGTACCGAGTGAGATGCCCAAAATCCTGGTATCAGGATAAATAACGATATCCTGCAGGGGGCGGTTGTATACGAAGGCCAGATAGCGCTATCCATCATATACTGATTGTTTCAAACTTTGTTAAATCAGTCGTTGATTGGTATAACTCGTATTAAAATTTAGTAGGATAATATATATATATATATATATATATATATATATATATATATATATATATATATATATATATATATATATATATATATATATATATAT